CTTCTCTCTGTCTTCGGAAGGCTGCCATTTCCTCGCGCAATGCGCGCAAGTCACCGTGGAGGTCGGGTTGGGCTCCGTCGGCGTTCGGCCGGACCTCTTGTATCACAGGCTCCGGCTGCCAATTTTCATAACCTGTCCCATGTTAATTAACATCTCAATAGTGAAGGTCCGACAGAGGTATAGAAAGATTATGTCATGACTAATAGTATGGTCTTAGAAGCTCCACTATTCAATCATGCTACCAAGTGAATCTGGTTAATAACTTTCGCATGGCCAAGTTTGACTGTTTGAGCAAGGAAGGTAAAGCTACTATACTAAATGAGTATTGAACTATTGATGTGTTGCCTTATCAAGTTATCAAAGCCTATTTCTTTGAGTTAGTATCAATATACTGCAACCTTCAAGTGTTAATCAGATTATTAGCTTAAGTACTGATTTTCTTTTCCCTATTTTAGGTTGTTGCTTACTTTAGAGAGAGACTGATATCAGAGAAAACCCTGAGCAGAAATGCTGTAAGACAATTGTGTGACAATAAGGTATTTTCAACAGTTCTGCTATAAAACCTCCAAGTTTTTGTTTTATGATTGTAAAGTTTATTCTTTTAAATTGCTAGCAAAACAGAATCCAGATCTCTGATTTGTGCTTGTTGTCCTGTTCTTTGTTCCTGTGGTACTCCGTACTCATATAGCTGCTGCTTTTATTGGTTATTTACCATTTCACAGCAAAATAAATCTTCTTCAGTGATTTTGGCATCATGAGCATTATCTTGAAAACTAAAGTAAAAGACTGATGTTAAGTGTGTAAACATGGATGTGATGTATATGTTTTTGAATTTTTACCTGAAGACAGTGGCATTAGGTTTTGAATGCAGTTCCTATGGTGTATAATCTCAAAGTTGTGTATATGTTTTAGCTGGAAATAGCTAAAAAAATGTGCATAACCTGTTTTTCATATTACACTGGTTGTTTGCGTTTCCCACTGATCTCAGTTACTGCAATGGTGCATTTGATACACACAAAGGTACAAAACAAAGAAAAGTACATTATAAATGCTTAAGTTATTGGAAAAGTTTTTACTTAATAAATTGTTTGGTGAACAATGGATAGCACAAACAAAATAATATTAAATTTATTATAATAACTTTTTTAATATTAGTTATCGTAATGATGATAACGAGTGTTACTGTACTTGGAATAAAAAGTTGTGTCATAATTTATTGAGTAACAAAAAATAGGATTTTTGTCCTGTTCTTCTTCATCTAGTTTGTTATGTCCCGTGATTCTTGTGTAAATCAAACACAAAACAATTATATTTGTCTTATCCATCACCATGATTTTTAGCAAATCAAACAGATTCTAGAGGTGCAATAGTCTAAGAAATTATAAATCGTTTTACTTGAACCAAAGAGGTGGTGCATATATATATTCTCTTGTAGAGGTAAACATTTCTTTAGTTTTTCTTGGCTTCAAGTTCATGAAGAGCTGAGGATCTAGCTAATGATCATAATTATTGTTTTTTCTTCTCTTTGCTGTCTTTGATGTTTTTTACTTAGTCTCTTTTGTAAACATTTATATACATTGTTTTGTTCTTAATAACTTAACTAGCTAGAAGCTCTCAACTCCATTCTGTATTGCAAAATTTATGCAGACCGTCATTGCTTTTACTTATAAACAAAATGGGCTGCTTGTTGGTTGCAAGTACAGAACAATGGAGAAAAGATTTTGGCAGGTAATTTTTCCAGTTTGAACCATGTTAGGATGATAATCTGGTGCTTTAGACTTGAGTTACCTCGTACTCAGGTAAGCAATTGATTCTTTTATTAGTTTGGCTAAGGCTACTAACATCAACATGCAAATTTACCTAATCAAAATAATTGATGGTTTGAGGTGGAAAACATTGACTAATTTTCCAAATCAATGATTATCACACAAAAGTATTATAATAAATCATGTATTTTGAAATGACCTCAAGCATTTTATGTATATTTGATGAAAGAAGGGCAACTATGGCGTCGGAGACAAAAAAAGAATGGATGTGAGTATGAAGCTTAATTTTTCCCCTTGCCTACACTTCCATTTGTAGAGAATGTTAAGGAGGGAGTTACACAAATCTAGAACAAAATTTCTGTCAACACTAAGAATCACTCCTTGATTTTGTTTCTATCGCTGCTCAATCAGCCCTAATTTAGCAATCATCAGCCATATCAGTAGATTTATCAGGGTTAATTGTTTACATATATGTGTATAAAACATAGGAGCCTATAATCATTTCCAGAACCCTATAAACATTTCTGGAACCTTCCAATGCTTTTGCTGCTTGTATATGAATTAACAATTTAGAGCAAACCCTCTATTTGGTCCTCCAAAGACAAAGATAAGCCCTTTAAAAGTTACTTGAATGAAAAGGGAATAATATTATTTGGGAGAAAATGAACAATACAAAGCTGTAAGCAACAGTACAATATATACGCTAGAGTAAATAATTGCTAATTAATTCCTTTCCTAAAATAAGACTCTATTTACAGTCACTAAACTAAATATGAAACTGTCCTTGTAAAAGAATAATTTACACAAATTACAATGATTACAAAGGAGACAACGTGGAACTTTTTTGACAAGATTTTTGTCACCAAATTAATCCTTCAAAATATTAACATGTCATGACACTAGTCCTCCTAGAGATTTTGTATGTTGAGGTTTTATTTAAACATTCACATTTTGATATGAAATATAGTTGATCTTGATACTAAGTAACTGATGTTCATTCAAATGCTAAACTTGATTTTCAGGGAAAAGGCACCGACAAGATACTATATGGAATTGATGACATTAGTCATGCATCTGAAATCATCATTGTAAATTTTGTTCACTTACTTTTCCCATCCCTATCTTCTTTTGTCAACAATTTCCAAATGAAAGCTGAAAAATATAAGAATTTTGTTCAAATATCCAATGATGATAATAGGTTGAAGGGGAAATTGACAAGCTTTCACTCGAGGAGGCTGGCTTTCAGAATTGTGTTAGTGTTCCAGTGGGTGCACCAAGAAAGGTTTCTTCAAAAGATTTGCCACCAATAGAAAAGGTTTGTGCGATTATTAAAACTGGTTTTCACTTTTTTTAAGGCTGAGTGAATATTCCACATGCAAACATCAGTAATACTTCTTGTCATCCTTTCCTTCATCAAAATCTATCTTTCTGTGTATCTATCTATCTAATGAATTGGATTAGATGTGGTCTTAAGCTCCAAATGAAATGTAATTGGCCCCTCTGCTATTTTGTCAATGTGTTCCTAATGATTTATGAATTGGTTGAAATAAGTTATGTTGTGACGTACCCTTCCTCACTTCAGGATTTTTTCAAATACCTAGACTAATTTACTCTTCTAATTTTTCATTTTATTCTGCTGTGGTACAACCGTACAAGGTTTTGTTGTGCTACTTGAAAACGTAATAACAAAGAGTCAAAGGACAAATCATTTAGGGATATAGATACTAACTGTTTCAACGGAGATCTTTGTGTTTGGGACCACTTTCATTCTAAGAAATATTATCATTCTTAATTTTGAAAAGAAGAATCTATCTAGATTTCTGTTTTTTCTATTACATACTAATCATAGAAAATTGACATTTTATTGCAAAATTGTCCAAATATAGACTGCTTATTGTTGCTTTCGTGTTTGTTTGCCTATGGACGCAGAAAACACCGTCTTTAAATTTTTTGGAAACACTGATTTATGTTTATCTTTCTGCACCCTCATAAAGTCCAAGTTCTAATCTACTAGTCGATCTCTTTAATATATTAATCTGTGGCATGGCTTGTCTTTATTAAGCCAGGACACTGCATATCAATACCTATGGAACTGCAAAGAGTACTTGGATAAGGTACATGTATTTGGTGTCTTTCCATTCAGTTGGATCCTTCTAGCACAGACAAAGTGAACTGCTTTTTTAGTTTGGTTTCCTCTGTTCTTTAGGCAGTTCGCATTATACTGGCAACTGATAATGATCCACCAGGTCAAGCTTTAGCTGAAGAACTGGCACGACGCCTTGGTCGAGAAAGGTTATATATCTTGTCATTTATTTTTCATGTTATAGTGAGTAAGTACCATGTACCAAATATGTATGTAAAACTTTAGACTTGGATGTAAACCTAACATGTCCGTAATCGAGGTTCAATAAGCATTCATGTTACCTCAACTACTTATGAGTATTTTTAAGAGAAGAAAATAAAAAGAAAAAATGAAATAAATTTATCTATAAGATAAAACTAACTTATGCATAAATTAAAAATAAACTTTTAGAGAAAGTTTATGGAGAAATATATTTCATTTTTTCTTCTTATTATTTCTCCTAAAGTGTAAGCTTATCCAAAAAAGACTAGGTTTAAAATGCAAAGTTGTCAATGTTGAACTAAATGAATCAAAATGCTTCCCAAATAATGGTTCTAAAGAGTTTATTGGATCTGAGGAAAGGCTATGCATTCTGTTCTGTTCCTAGCACTTTTGTGAAATAATAAAGGTTTAATTACCGTTTTGATCTCTATAGTTTTAAGCACTTTATTTTTTTAATTCTTATAATTAAAAATGTTCTATTTTAGTTCTTGTACATATCATTTTTGTTCTCTTTTAATTCTTATTGTTTATTTCTATATGAACTAAAAGATAAAGTTTATGAAATCATTAGAACTAAAATGAAACAAAAATAGTATGTATAAGGAATAAAATGGAATACTTTTCATTGTGAGGACCAAAAAGTAAAGTTGATGAAATTGTAGGGATAAAAAGGGTAATTAAACCAATAATAAATTATCACTTTTGATTTAGGATCTAGTTGGATAAGTTTCTTCAAAAGTACTTTTAGGAAAGAAAAAATAGGAAGAAAAGATGAAATAAATTTCTCTATAAACTAAAACTAATTTATACATAAGTTAAAAATAAGATTTTAAAGAAGCTGATAAGTGAGAACTTTTACGAATTAATTTATGTTTAAGCTAATTTTAGTTTATGGAGAATTTTTTTCATTTTTCTTTCCTATTTTTTTTCTTCTATAAGGACTTCCATAGAAATTTATTCAACCAGACCTTTAGTTTTCAATTGTGTAATGTACTCTGTATTTGCCTATTTATTTTCCTTTTTTTTATGACATCAGGTGTTGGCGTGTACTCTGGCCAAAGAAAGATGAATTCAGCTTTTTCAAAGATGCAAATGAGGTATAACTCTGGATTTTCTATATTATTCAGCTTTGCTAATGGCTTTTGGAGATTTTAAGAAAATGAACTTTTCAGGATCAGTTAATGACATATTATGTTTGTATTTTTCGCCTTTAAAATGCCAATATGTATCATTACGATATAATTATTCGATTGTGGTTTACGAGCCTAGGTTCTCAAACACATGGGAGCAGATGCTTTGAAGAAAATAGTTGAAAATGCAGAGCCATACACAAATGATAATTAGGTAATTCCATCTATATATATAATATAGATTTTATGCTCAAGAAATCCTGCATATGCCTGGATTACTACAAAAATCTCGTACCAGGAAAGTGTAATGAAACTGTTGTGTGATCATATTCGTACTATTTTGAAGGGGAACGGTTGCATGACTCTCTCTAACACTTTCTTTATGTATCCTTTTCTAATTTTTTTTATATTATTGGTTAAAATTTATTAAAAATCATGCATTCCGGTAAGTGTCTCTATTAAAATATAAAATCATTTTTTTTGTCTAATATTTGTTTTAAGATAGATAAATAATATTTATTTTGAGAATTTATAAAAAAAAATAGAGATATCACATGTTGATATGATATCACAGAATTGAGAAAATACTTACGATAATTACTTAACATTTTTTTATATACATAATAGTTAATTAGAATTACGTAATAGTAAGAATTAAAAAATTAATTTCAAATTGTAGAGGAGTGAGAAACAAAAGAAAAAAATTATGAGAACAAAAAAAAATTAAAACTTACTAACTTTACGTTAACTTAAAAATATATTTAAATTTGGTGTAAAAAAAAATTAAGTTTAATTTAAATATAATAAAATTAAGGTATATTTAGATGCACGCATGAGATTCATATCCAAACAAGAATTACATCAATTGGTGGAGAAATTAGTTTTTGTTGTTTCTATCGGCCGTATAGAGAAAGTGATGATCTTCTGGTTCCAAAACACTTATACATTTTAACAAAAGAATAATATAATGTAGAATTATCTTAATTTTAAATTAGATAAAAAAATACCTTAGATTTGTTCCGATAAGAGTTTATTGTGTAAATTCTCTTTCTAAGATTATTTTTATTTTTTAAAGTTATTTTATAATATTTAAAATGACATCTATAAATTAAAAAAAAATTATTAAAAAAAAGAAGGCAACACATTTAAAAATTCAATTATATTTAATTGAGTTGTGTAAAAATATTAATGATCATGTAAAACAAATATCAATGGTCAATATCTAAAATATGTGATAATTTTGTAACAGATTCCATTTATATATGATGAAGTATGTACACGTTATTATTATTTTTCTTTCTATCAATTAAACAAGTTCACTTTTTCCCTTTCATGATTTTTTTTCATGCAATAGCCCCTGTTCCTACTTGTACATTTTTTTTATTCTTACTATTTGATTAATATCATTTTTTATATGCAAATGTCTTTCATATAATTTAATTTAGATTCAAGCTATAATACAGTTAAACAAAAATTTCTACTAAAAAATTTATCTCTTTCTAAAGATCCGTGTCACTCAAATTTCATTATAACACTACTAAGGAAATAGAAAAATGAATATACTATCTTGTGATAATTATATATTATGTATTTCTTTCAATAAATTATTAAATTAATCTCTTTTTTTTATCTAGTTTTTTTATTATTTTCGGTAAATCTTGTACTCCTTTATTAATATATTCATTCCTATTGGTACGTGAGTTTTTGTTAGAATAGTAGATTAAGCCTAACTTAACCCTACAAAACCGGCTTGTAAGGTGATGGTTGCTTTCCACTTATATACTATTCAATTGCCTAATCTCTAGTCGATGTGGGACTTGGATTTTTCCCAATACCCCCCCTCACGTCCAGCACTATCAGGCTTAGTACGTGGATAAATGGTGGGTGACCCTTTTTAATGATCTAGGATAGACGGAACTTGTATTTTTTCCCAATACACCCCCTCATGCCTATGGCATATGCATCAATGGTAGGTGGCCCATTTAAAGTGGATCTAAATGGCTCTGATACCATGTTAGAATAGTAGATTAAGCCTAACTCAACCCTACAAAACCGGCTTGTAAGGTGAGGGTTGTTTTCTACTTATATACTATTCAATTGCCTAATCTCTAGTCGACATGTTAGAATAGTAGATTAAACCTAACTCAACCCTACAAAATCGGCTTGTAAGGTGAGGGTTGTTTTCCACTTATATACTATTCAATTGCCTAATCTCTAGTCGATGTGGGACTTTGGTTTTTCTCAATACACCCCCTCACGTCCAGCACTATCAGGCTTGGTACGTGGATAAATGGTGGGTGACCCTTTTTAATGATCTAGGATAGGCGGAACTTGGGTTTTTTCCCAATACACCCCCTCATGCCTATGGCACATGCATCAATGGTGGGTGGCCCATTTAAAGTGGATCTAAATGGCTCTGATACCATGTTAGAATAGTAGATTAAGCCTAACTCAACCCTACAAAACCGGCTTGTAAGGTGAGGGTTGCTTTCCACTTATATACTATTCAATTGCCTAATCTCTAGTCGATGTGGGACTTGCATGTGCCATAGGCATGAGGGGGTGTATTGGGAAAAAACCCAAGTTCCGCCTATCCTAGATCATTAAAAAAGGGCCACCCACCATATTGGGAAAAACCCAAGTCCCGCCAATCCTAGATCATTAAAAAAGGTCACCTACCATTTATCCACGTACCAAGCCCAATAGTACTGGACGTGAGGGGGTGTATTGGGAAAAACTCAAGTCCCACATCAACTAGAGATTAGGTAATTGAATAGTATATAAGTGGAAAACAACCCTCACCTTACAAGCCGGTTTTGTAAGGTTGAGTTAAGCTTAATCCACTATTCTAACATGGTATTAGAGCCATTTAGATCCACTTTAAATGGGCCACCCACCATTGATGCATGTGCCATAGGCATGAGGGGGTGTATTGGGAAAAAACCCAAGTTCCGCCTATCCTAGATCATTAAAAAAGGGCCACCCACCATATTGGGAAAAACCCAAGTCCCGCCAATCCTAGATCATTAAAAAAGGTCACCTACCATTTATCCACGTACCAAGCCCAATAGTACTGGACGTGAGGGGGTGTATTGGGAAAAACTCAAGTCCCACATCAACTAGAGATTAGGTAATTGAATAGTATATAAGTGGAAAACAACCCTCACCTTACAAGCCGGTTTTGTAAGGTTGAGTTAAGCTTAATCCACTATTCTAACATGGTATTAGAGCCATTTAGATCCACTTTAAATGGGCCACCCACCATTGATGCATGTGCCATAGGCATGAGGGGGTGTATTGGGAAAAAACCCAAGTTCCGCCTATCCTAGATCATTAAAAAAGGGCCACCCACCATATTGGGAAAAACCCAAGTCCCGCCAATCCTAGATCATTAAAAAAGGCCACCCACCATTTATCCACGTACCAAGCCCAATAGTACTGGACGTGAGGGGTGTATTGGGAAAAACTCAAGTCCCACATCGACTAGAGATTAGGCAATTGAATAGTATATAAGTGGAAAGCAACCCTCACCTTACAAGCCGATTTTGTAGGGTTGAGTTAGGCTTAATCTACTATTCTAACAGTTTTGATTAACTAATTTGTAATTATTAAAGTGATGTAAAATTAAGATTAACATACACTTGACGTGGGTATGTGATATGCATATTGATAAATGAATACAATGGAAGGACATGATATGTTGTGAATTGATGTAAAAGAGGGTCTATCCTGTGAGAGGTAAAAGTCTTCTACGTGAAAATGTTGTGATTATCACGTGCTTATATGTGTGACCATATGTTATATCATGATGAACTATTATTTTCAGAATGGAAGTTACAAAAGGTTATTAACCTCGAACTTGAGAGAGATTACACTCGATGAGAAAATTTCAATGATTCATGTTGATTTAATGTGAGTTCAAGTTTACCATTGTAGTTAAGTGACTCTGATTAGTGACTCGTCATCTTTAGGATATCATGTTAGTTGAATATCAATGGTGGTCGTATCTTAAATGAGGTGAGACATTGCTTATATGTACTCCTAGTTCACTTTCAAATGTTTTGATTTGGTATCACTTGTATATGAGATAAAAGATGAAGGAAATTTAGATCGCATCAATTGCATGTGTTTGAATTGATGAATGGCATGTGTTAATGTTTAGTTACTTTTATTTGTATTCTACTTGTGTCCTTTGTTATACTTGAACATGTTGAGAGATGTATTTCTCTCTCTTTCCTTATGTGTTTTTTTTTTCCGTGAAATTATTGTACAGGTAATGTCCAATAGGACTATGGTGATGATGGTTCAAAAGAGAAGGCTTATGCTTTAATGTCTATTAATGGATTTTTTTAGGGGGAAGAGGTGGGAGTTTAAATGCTCATAATAGGTTTTGACATCAAAGTTTAAATACTTAGTTATTTTTATGGGTAGACTCGTGTAATATTGAGGGTGTGGAAATCAACTCCCTCATTTTGAGAAAAATCATAAATATGTATGTAGAGTTTTTGTTTTTTGTTCTTTTTTTATTATTATTTGAACTCACTAGTTTCAATCTATCACTTGGTTGTCAAGTTGTGTCTTTTATTAACTAGCACTTTTTTTTACCTTTTGTTTCAATTTTAACTTTCCAAACATTTTTTGTTCAACTAAACATTTAATTTCACCTTACATTTTATTCTTTTACATGATGATAAAATAGTAATAATAATTATGATTTTTTTGTTTAAAATAAATTGGTCACTATGAGTTAGGGTCCTAGTTTTGTCACCAACAATTTCTTTTGTAATTTACATTATGCAATAATAGATTTTATTTAATTTGTAAATAATTTTTATAGTGTTAAGATCGTCTAATAATATCGTAATTTTATATGACTATATCTATGTTTTAAATACGATGTTCTTTGCTTGTGATAAGTTGTTTTTAGTTTTAAGAAAATACAACTTTTATCAATCAATTTTTGTAATGTTTATCTAATAAAAATGTATTTGGAGAGGGTATCATAATGTTAGTTTGTAGTTACCACTTCAATGATGACAATTGTCTTGTTAAGCTAGTTTTTTATTAATGCTTCACTAGCATAAAGTGTATCATCATTTTGTTTAGGTTATTCAATGCATTTGACAAAAAAAATGGATTATTAATCCTTTATTAAGACCAGGATAAAAGTCGGCCAACAATAGCTTTAAAAATCTACCCCAAGTGTTAGTGAAGGATTCAAAACATCTATGATGAAAATTATTTACTTGTCTCCACATCTCATAAGCATTCCATGTCATCATAATATCTTGAGAAATGGCCCTACACTCTTACCCTTCTTGCAAGAGTAATGGGTAAAAAGCATTAGTGCAGTATATCTTGTGTTGTCCCTAAAAAATGTTGGTTTTTACAGATCTCTAAAAATCCCTCTAAATGATTAGTTGGGTCTTCAAAAGGTAACTCGTTGAATTGATTTTGCTTCAACATGATCAACAATGCAAGGAGAATCATGAAGTTTGTATCCCCGTATTTGGTTGAGCAATTTTAACAACTAACCTTTGAATCGTTGGGATTGCATAATTCTTCAACCAACTAATTACGAACATGATAAGATTGTCCACCAAATGAATCTCAAGGGTATCCAGATAATGTACTCAATATTTAAGTCATGCAAACTTGAAAATTTTTAATTTTGCACAATGTCAATTGTAACAAAGCAAAACAAATCAATGGATGTCAAACTCCTTTAATCCTTTTAGGATTCAAATTACCCAAAAAATGTTACCTTAAGTAAAGTTGATGTAAAATATGTTATCCCCTCAATTGGTGTTTTTCAATCCTTTTAATAGGGTTATAATCATGTTTAAGAGGATTCGATGTGGTACGACGATACCATTTCATTTGTTTTGTCTTTAATAGTTATTATTGTATAATGGTGGGAAAAAAATCACTAAAATTAGCTATTTGAAGGCTAAGCATGAAAAGATTTAATCAAAAAACAAATGTGTGCTAAAGAAATTGAAGAATCTATCCTTAATATTAGTAAAGTTTGTTTTGGGTTTTCTTGGTGCATGCTTAAGCACAATTTGTTAAAATAAACTATGATGGTGCTTTCTCTTCTTCTAGTGACAATGTACCTAGTGATGATTTAATTTGTGATGATCAGGGTGCTTTCATAACAACTTTTGCTTGTACATTGGGACAATGCTCAATTGTCATAGTAGAGATTTGGGTAGTCTTTCAAGGTGTGAAAATTATTATATCTAGAAACTTCACTAATCTCAACATTGAGATAGACTCGAAGGTTGTAATTTTTCTTATCAACAAAGGGTGTCACACATTGCACCCTTATTATCTCTTTGTAAAGGATATCAAAGATTTACTTTCAAAATTTGCTAGCTCTTCATGCTCCCATTTTTTTTTTCATGAGATTAATTATGTTGTGATGCACAGTTAAGTATGACATAAATTAAAGTCTAGGCTTAAAATTTGTTGATATTCCTCCTAACTTTCTAATTAATTTGTTATTGTCTGAAACTACAACCACTTTTTTCTTTTGTTAATTTCTTTTGTGTTTTTGGCCTTTGTGGCCCATTTCTTAACTAAAAACAGTAAAGTTTGTAGAGTAATAACTTCAAATATTAAAATTTTAAATTTTAAATTCTTAATGCACAATTTAAAGGTATTTATCTAATAATTGTTTGATAATAAAATTATAGAAAGATTATAAATTACTTTTCTTCATAAACTTGTCACATTAATCATAATGCATCTCAATTCACTAATGAGTATTTGAATTAAATTTAAAAAGTATTAATTTGCTTTATCCAGTTTGTTTACAAAATTACACATCCAATCACCCAAAATAATAAATTTTTACTTCTTTAAAAAAAAATATTCATAGCCTTCATTGTTCCATACACGGGCCCATCTACCTTCGAGTGAGAGAAATTTATCCGGGTCAAGCACAATGGCCCACCATCCTTTATTTCACATTCGCGGTCTGACACACATTCAAGTTTTTGAAATCACTTCGTTCGTTGGACTCTAAAGACAAAAAATTCGACCGTTGCAATCTCTCTAATTCAATCTTGTCGCTTCTTCTCTTTCAGTTCTTCTGAATTCGAAATCCCCACTCCCCGAATTTCGCGATGCGCAAGTCGAAAAAAGCAGAATCTTCCGTCGCCGCTTCTTCGGAACGCAGAAACTGGAGCGCCACCTTCAAATCGCTGGTTAAGATGGTTTGTAGCCAGCAGAACCAGCTTCACTCGTTCGCGAACCTGAAGAAGATTCTCGAAGACCACTTGCGAATGCAGCACGAGGGGCGGATCTCCGATGTTCGCTTTTACAAGGATCAAATATCTCAGGTATTTATTCTTTTAGGGTTTCCCTAAAATTACAACAACAACAAAAAAAAAGTGTTTTTTATTTTTGTTTTTCTTTGTTTTCGTTGGCACTGTTTGTGTAGATGAATGGGGTTTCGATGTTTGAGGAGAAGAGAAGGTCGCTGGAGGCAGCGAAGGCGGATTTGGAGCTGGGTTTCAAGCACAGAGAGGCTACTAAGTTGAAATGGATTTTAGGTCAGTGATTTTTCTTTGATTTCTTGTGAAAGTTTTTGTTTTGCCCTTTTGTTTTTAGGGGGAAGATGTTTGGTTTTGGTTCTTGGTGAATTTGATGTTTTATTCCTCAATGTTTTGCCTCCAATGAATAGAAAGTTGGTTTTGTTGTTTCTATCAAGGATGGAGAATGGAGTGAACTTTTTTGTTATGGATAGTTTCTAGATATGGTCAAGATTTTTGTTATTTTAAAGGGTTGAGTTGAGTTGAGTTTTGGGGTGGGGGACACTACAGAGTTATAGCTTGCTTCTGAAGTGATTTTTTTTTTGTACAATAGACTCTTTCTTTTCTTTATTTATTTTTCGTTTGTCTAAAGCTCTCCGAGGAAGCTTTTGATTAAAATATAATCCAAAACAAGTACTGCAGAAACCTAGACATGCATTCACTCTGACCCTAGACTGAAATTATTTGCGTAGGAGCTGTGTTAATTTAATAATTTATTGAATGTGAACAAGTTTATGTGATCTGTGACTCGAAGAAATGGCTTATAAGGTGAACTTTTTGGAAAGGTCCTGGATGATTCTTCTTCTGTTGAAAGAACCCCCCACCCCTCCGGGACTCTACTAATATGTATACTTAGATTGGGATTATTTGCATTTCCCAAACGTAAACAACTTTACATGATACAAGACTGTATGAGTTGGGGTAGGTGGTTAAATACCTGATTGGCTTACCCATTTTTTTAAGTTATTACTCCAAGCGTGTTTCCTTTTTGTTCTTTTTATTATATTCATTTAACTTTGATTGCAGAGCATACAGAGGATGAGTTGACGGATTTTAAGACATGGTTCGAATTCCTTTCTTGTAAATCCTCTAATGGCGAAGTACGTTAGCTGTCAGTCAGCCTTGCATATTTGTTGAGTTCTCCTATATTTTTTTTTTTATGCATTTCATTATGCTATTCATTGAGCAGTCACTTCACTTTATAACAGGATCAAGAAACAGCTTCCAAGGATACTGACTTGAGGAAGAGAGGAACAACCAATAGAGGGAACAAGTCCAGTTGGAACACTGCAGAAAAAGAGAATTGTTCCAGCGAAATCAAAGATGAATTGAGAAGGTTAAGAGGTGAACATGAGAAGCTTGCATTAGAAAAATATTCGGAGGTGTCAGCACTGTTGGCAGAAAAGAAGTTTGTGTGGAATCAATATAATATAATGGAGAATGAATACTCTGATAAATTAAAGACTAAGGAAGCTGAAGTAGAAAAGGCAAATGAAAAGATTAAGGCACTTGTTTCCAGTATGGAGCAGCTACAGTCTAAAAATCATGAAAAGGATAGTAAAATTTCAGAATTAAAAATTAAAATGGCCGAGATGGAAGCTGAGGCAAAAAAATTAAACAAAGAAATATCTGGACTCTCAGTGGAGTTGGAATCTTTAAGAAAGTTAAGCAGCAGCCAAGTTACACCCATTTTAAATCATTGCACGGAAGGAACTAAAGCAACTGAGTCCGGAGTTGTTAAGAGCAGCAGGAGTAGAAGAAATTTGACTTTGAAAAAAGAAATATGTACTCCTGATGCACCGGCTCCTGCAAAATCCTCTGAAAAGGTATGGCCTTCTCATTTACTGTTAGCTTATCTTCCTATATTGTCCTGTTAATTTTGTCTGCATTATATCATTCATGCGCTTACCTGCTGTTACCATTGATTAATGTTGGCTTTCTTTTAATGAACCATTTCTTAGAGCTCAGAATTTTGTTCTTGGAACATGGTGTATGTAAGCGGTAGCACTGCCTGCTTCCAAATACAATGTGGGGCTGGCTGATAATGTAAAACTACATAATATATTCATTTCAATAAAAATGTGTGTTCATTGTATGAGTTCCCAATTCCCATCCATGATTTGCCTTTTATTGGTCTACAAATATTGTCTTCTGCATTAATAGCAACTCATTTCTAACTTCTGCAACTTCATGCATTCCACAATAACTTGCCAACTTGATTGATACAGGCAGTTTAGCAAATTTATTGCTCATTGCACCCTATATAATGTTCCATAGTGTAGTTTGGAATGTGGATGGTATTCTTTCAATATCACTTCTTGGTACTTCCTGCATGTCATGTTGTGAGTAGCCCTGGAGGGGGGCGATAGTTTAGATTTATACAAGGTTTTGTGATGGAAAGTTTTATTTATTTTATAATAATTAAGAAAAAAGAATGTGCTCCTTATTGTTTGATTTGTTTTCCCTTCCTTGTATCATAATTGTCCAGGGTACAAAAAGCATGAAGAGGAAAGAGGCTCCAGTTATTCCCACCTCCCAGACTCCAAAACTATTCTCTTCCAGCTTCAAGGTTCCGAAACTGAAGTCCTCTGTGAGGGTCTGATGACAGATGACATCTTTCGGATAACCTTTTAATTTGTTAGGATATGATAGTTTTGTATATGATTTGTGTATTGTACACTCTTATGTATTATGTATGAGCTTTCTTTTAGGTATTGATTCATTCATAGCCTTTCTAATGGTGATATTTAGTGTAAGTTTGGAATAAATTCCACTTTTTAGGTAAATTATGTAACAGCCTTTAGTCTGGACAAGTTTTATTCATAAAACTTCTTACGAAAATGGTAGATCTGTTAATGTTGTCATTTTAATAAAATCGGTCTAATAACAATATTAATTTTAAAATAATTGATTAGATTAAATTTTACTAAATAAAGTTAATTTACATTAGGAGATTAATTATTATTTAATGTACGGATTACTTGTTTCTACAAATTTGGGAAACTTAAAAAAAGCAATTAATAATATTTTTTGGCTTGACCCACTACCACAAGTCAACTATAAAACAGTGCCTAATTTAGCTTTTTTAAAAATATATTTTTAGTCTACTAAATGTAAGATAAGTTTGCTTTTGGTCTCAAATTTTAAATTAATTTTTTAATCTTGTCATTCTAAAAATGATTTGTTTTAATTCCTAATGACACCTTGTAGTGTCATTGGTACACATAAATTGATTTAGATGTGGAAATGTATATTAATGAGACTTGTATTAAATGCATTTGCATAATATTGGGTAAAATTTTAATTATGTTTAGAGAACAATGTTATTTATACTTAAGAAATTGTACTTAAGTTTTCTTCATATTATAATTTATCTAATTTATATTAATAGAAGTGTGAATAGAGATGTACCATAGTTCATGCATTTTTTCTCTTGTTTTATATATACTAGTAGAGTGGTGACACTTTGTGTTTATATATTTTATTTAATAAAAGTGTTATAAAAATTATTAATATTTAGTGAATCAATTAGTATTGTATTTGATTTTCAAATCTAAATGTTTTGAGTTAGAGTTTTTATCTTTGTAAGAATGATTAATTTCTAATATTATTTTTTATTATACAAATTCAGGGTAAAATTTTATAAAAAATGTATACACCAAATGGAATAATCCCTTTTATTATATGTTTTAGAAATTAAGAATGTTTAGATTAGTTAAATTATGGATTATCTATCTTATCATAAGTTTGCGTGCAATAATATAAATTTTGAATGAAACTAAATTAAATCGCATGTTCTAACTAGTAAGAGTAGTTGTATCACCCTTGCAAGACATTTTCTTCTTCTAATTTGAATAATAAGATTTTTAATCTATTCTAATAATAAAAAAAGATTTTTTCAATTTGGTGTCCATTTTTATCTTTCTTATTTTTCCTAAATAACTATATATAATTCTAATAAACATACAAACTATCGAAATAAATTTGTTATTTTCTCTATTTTTTTAATGAAGATACTTAGTGACCTTTTTCTCATTAGTAGAGATAAAGGAGATATTTTATTTTAGTGTCCATATATATATATATATTTTTTTAACTTTTACTTCATAACTAATTTGTTTAACTACTTTTTTTTTTTTTTTACTTTTTAACTAATTTATTTAACTACCTCCATTATTCTAAAGTTAATGGCACACTTTTTTAACGTCATCATTTTTATTTTATATAGAGTTAATCACCTATACACTGTCAGTGTAAAGTCTTTTTACACTGGCAACTAATTATATATTTTATTTGTGCCATGTCACTATAAACACATTTATTTTTAACAGTGACATGACACAATTAAAAGATATAATTAGTTGTCAGTGTAAAAAACTTTACATTGACAATATATAAGTGATTAACTCTTTTATATATACTAATAATAAAAGGGATTCTTCCATTTAGTGTTCACTTTTATCTTCCTTATTTTACAAGTAATAACTATACATAATCTCTAATAACGTACATACTACTAAACTAAATTTTTTTTTCTTCTCTTTTTTAATGGAGGCAAGAAGTACATCTCTTCTCATTATTAAAGATAAATGAGATACTTATTTTAGTGTAAATTTTTTTTGAACTTTTACTTTTTATCTACTCCCACTATTCCTTTTTACCTCTTAGATTTTTAGTAAAAATTTATTTGCATTTACTTGACATTTTCAAATTTTAAGATAACATTAATTACTATGTTATTAATTATACCCTTACATCTCTCTTAACTTTTGATTAATTTACTCATAACAATTAATATGCGTTTATTATGAAGTAAAAATGAAAGAGGATATAATATGAAACATCAAAATTATGTTGTAGAAAATAGGAAGGTTTATTATGTTTATTGATTTGTGTAAACCTCAAATGACTATTATAAAGGAAGTAAGGAACGGAGATAATAATTTGTTTAACTAATTTTTTATCCTTTAACAGGTTTATTTAACCACTCCAGTATTTTAAAGTTAACTACAGATTTTTTTACATTTCATCACTTTTATTTTTTACAATAAGGTATGAAGTGTTTCGCCTTTACTAATAACAATAAATTATATTTTTATTATAATGAGACTACTAAAATATATAATTATTTTTTATTTCTATTTTTTAGTGAATCATTATATCCCTCCGATATGAAGTAAAAAGCTTATCATATTCTCCCATAATATCTACCCATAACCATCTATTTTATTATATCTTTTTTTTTTAATTTAAAAAAAAATTAAGAGACACAATAAATGTATTTTTCCCCTTACTAATCTTATAATCTATAAATGTTATATTGCTTCTAAAGTTCTTATATATATATATATAATATAAATAAAAAATAAAGTGTTTTGATTTCACTGATATTTATACTATTAATAAAGAGAATTATCTTATTTAGTATCTATAGTTTTTTAACAATTTTATCTTTATAATAATTTTTTATAAAATATATATATATATATATATATATAATATAATATAAATTTCACTCCACAATTCTCTGTATTTTTAATAATTACTTACCATTATATAATTTTTCTTATCATTGATTATTTCTTAAAAACAATCAATGGAGGCAAAGAGTGCCTTTTGTAGGTTATAAATAGATAAAGCCAATATCAAGCGTACACATTTTATTTTTCCCTTTTTATCCTTTATTTATTACATGATGAACCTATTTTATTTTTTATTTTAATGTCAAGGGTCAAAATAGTCACGCTCCATATTAAGGGTCACAACCACAACCGTTACATTTTCATTCCTAAGGGTCAAAAGTAAATTTATTTATGCATTGTTGTTTTAAAACAAAAAATAGGTAAAGGGTATCAAAATCTATGGTAGTCAGCAATTAAATACCGAGCAGAAAGGAAACTATGTAATATTTTCTTTTACTTTTACGCATGTTTACAATTCCAATTATGTAGCGTATAATATATATATATTGTAAAAAAAAAATATAGTATTACTAAAAATAATAGAAATATAAGTAAAAAAATGATTTTTTTTTCTCAATATTATTTATACAATTATATCTTTGCTTTCTCCTCCTAAAATACATAGAGGTACATGACTCTTTCACTTTAGTCTTTATTGTTATTATTAATATTATTTTTATTATTATAAAATAATAAATAATTGTCCATTTTAAATAAAAAAGTCATGAAATTTAGATTTAAATAATACCCCATGTAGTTTTATGAACTCCATCTTTTAGTCATCATAATTAAAAATATTCTGTTTTATTATATATATATATATATATATATAATTTTTTTAATTATTGTAGTTGCATAAATTTTACCTTTTATTTTTTGTAGTTGTTGCAAATGATCGGCAGGTTTTAGAATGTCAACATTGTCGAGATGTTTTAGTTTTATTAGTGATACTTAGCACATTTAGTTTTTATTTTAAAAAAGGCTTAAATATGTTTTTAATTCATTAAATTTTAAATTAATTTTATTTATTTATGTAATTTTTTTTATTTTAACTTTTATATTCAAATTTTGTTAAAGGATATGTTAAATATTGTCACATAAAATTTACATATTAGTATTTTTATTAGTAAAAATATCATATTAAACTCAATTGATATTTATATAACTGTTTGAATCTATTACTTTCAGGTTTATTATTCGTGACTTAAGAGATTAAAATAAAAATTTTAAAAATTATATGATTAAAAACCTCAATTTTAAATTTAGGAGACAAAAAATAAATTTACCCTAAAATTAAGAAACTAAAAATATGTTTAAATTTAAAAAAATTAAAAGAAAACAAAAATGACATTCCTAGGAACTAAAATAAAATATTTTTTTAACCATAAAAAAATATAATTTATGAAATTATAAAGACGAAAAAAATAATTAAATTTAAAATTTTAATCCAAGCAAAATTTTAACACTAACCAAATAAAACTTGTTATATCATTAGAATTCACTAAGGAATAGAGGTAATGGAAATTAGTTATGCTTGTGTTTGAAAGTTTTTGCATGCATAAAGTCTCATGGTCGTGTTGGTTGCTTGTATTTTTGGTGTAAAAAAAATAAAATTTGTTGGTCTAATTCTTTACCATATATACAGCACCAATGATTTGCAGCGCCCTTTCTCTTTAGACTTGAAAGCCTTAAACCAAACCAAAACCCTTTTTCCCACTTCTCACTTCTCACTCAGTCTCACACCATGAAGCACTGTTAGAGAAAACCCCACAAAACAAGCATGCACCTTCGTTATCCCCTCACACTGCGTCCCTTATTCACCACCATGACCACCCAAACCCTCTTACGCTCTTCTCCATTCCCACCTCTCAAAACCCCACCCTCCTCTCAACGACACCGTTTCCCCCACCACAGACCCTTCTTCACGGTGTTTTGTTCCAAACCCATCTCGAGGAACCCTCCATCGCCCCTCAGAACCAACGGGTACCACGGTGGTGCTTCACATGCCAGCATCCCTAGGCCAGGTACGGTGCCCTTTTCTGTTGGGGATAGAACAACCTTAAACGTGTGTAAAGTTGCTAACTTTTTGTGTTGCTGGTTTTGCTTTGTGAAGTTCAATTGGAGACAACCCCCGTAGAGAAGCACGTGGAGTTGCAGTTCAATATTTTGAAGAAGAAGTTGGATGCTGTTGGGATGGAAACTGGAATATGTGTGCCGGGGCAGTACAACCACTTGCTTTGTCCAAAGGTTGCTCTTTCTTTCTTCAAAGTTGAAGGCTTTTTGAACATTTGAGGCTTTTCATGTAGGACTTGTCAAGTGGGATGTTTTGGTGCTCTGGAAAGTTTTCCTAGAGAGTTGTTTCACTTGGGACATTAGAAAAAGACAACTTAGGTATAGTTCTTTAGGTGCGGTTGGTACTGTTCTTCAATTAGATAATGTGCACTTGCATTTAATGTAGGTGTTATTAATATACATTTACACATATTATCAATGTAAAACCTCAATTCTGTTTGGAAAACAATACCAACCGCACCTAAGAAACTGTCTTAAAGTTTTGTCCCATAAAAAACTGTCTTTGTTCATCAGTCATGTTTCAGGGGTGGAGATGTGTAGAATTTCTTTTTAGTATGTGGGAAGTTTTGCATAAGGTGATTATTTGAAGGGATAACTTCAGTTTGAGTTGAGGGGGTATGTGATGCTGTTAAAAATGAGAATCCTTTTAAGAGTGAATTGGAGAGTGTTTATTATGTATTTCAAATCAATGCATGTAACTTGATTGTAGTGGGAGTGGGACTATGCAGTGAGAGTAGTTCATTTTCCTTACATGGGTCCCATTTCATACACCCCAATGGGATTTAAACATTTTTTTTTGTTAAGTCTTGTATGTGCTGTTTAATATTTTTGTTTCTTTGTTAGTGTCTAGGTGGCGACCAGGAAGAACGGAGCTTATCTCTTTACATTGCACCAGATGGGTAGGATATTATCATTTTTTTTTCACATGCTTATCTGATTCTCTTCCTTAGCAGATTGTATATCTACTTTTTTATTTTTATTTTTAATTTTGACAATTTTTGAGTATTAGAGGATCTGCTGCATGGGTGTGCTTTCGTGCGAAGTGTGGGTGGAAAGGCAGCACACAGGTTAGATATTTTTAATTTTCAAACAGGTCAGGTTCTGATTAACACGGCCAGAGGTGATATTTGGTTCGTTTTTCTACCTTCTGCTGTAGGCCTTTGCTGGTAGAAGTTCTTCAACAAGTCAAGTAACCCCTGTTCAAAAGAAAAGAGAAATTACAGTGGAGGAATTGCAACTAGAACCACTTTGTAATGAGGTCATTAAATTTTACCTTGCTCTTTATTAAATTTGTACTTTTGCTAAGTTTGACACTTAATGTCAAATGATTTTGGTCCTGTCTCGTTACAGTTTTGTATCTATTGAATAAGCTAATATTGATTGCTAATTTCTGTCCCTGCTATGCTATGTGATTGTTGGTCAATTTTTCTGTTACACTTGGTTAGTGAGTCAGTGACTGTCTGTTTACCATCTAAAATCAATTATTCAGTGTGACTCACATAATTCCAATGTAAAATTTGTGGTTAAGATTAATTTGGACACAGTTCCCTATAACATTAAAGTCAAAATTGAAGTGAAAATAATTTATACTAAACTTTAAAATAAAAAGGAACTTACAATGTTTTAGTTCTTTTTTACACAGATATCTGTCAACTGTTTTGGAGTTTTGACAAACAATATAAATTGACTACTAATGTCTAACTGGCTTTGTGTGTACTCTCATACTCTGCACTTAAAATTATTCTTTATGTCTTGGCAGCAGAGCCATTGTTTTGTTTCTCTTCTCTGCATTTAGTTATGACTATGTATGGAACTAAACATGTGTTTATTGAAAGTAACTGACACAAAGGGTTGAGTCATTGCTCATTAGTCACTATAAACAGAAATACAAATAAGCTTTTAGTGATTAGATTTGATATCTGATTATATCCTGATTTGTATATTTATGCTTATCATGTAGTTTTTATATTGTATGGATAATAATATTCTGTTGAGTTCCAATCAATGTGGTGAATGTGACTTTGTTTGCCCTGTTTTAGCTGCTGGCATATTTTTCAGAGCGTTTGATTTCAAAAGAGACTCTGGAGAGAAATGCTGTCAGGCAGAGGACATATCACGATCAGGTGCAGTTAAGGACTAAATTATGAGCTTAATTTGAGTGATCTAGAATACTATATTTCAAGACAAAACAGATTTTATGTGCTCTTTTGAATGATAAAGAGAATTTGGGATATAATATTCTAAAGATGAGTATGTATCTTCCATGTATTGATTGTTCCTCTATATTAACATTCCTAATGATTGTTTTTTTTCTTTGGTTGAAAGACAGATCTAAAGTGAACATTTGAGGTTGGTTTTGGTTTTATTTACCAGAAAAGAACATGCCCCTTGGTTTATATCTGTAGTAACTATGAATTTGATGATATGACTGAAATCAGTCACACCTTCTACCAGCTGATTTAAAAGGCAGTGTTAAAATTGACATTTTATTTATTGATTTATTTGGAAAGGATTGCCATTTTTCTTTTATTTAATGATGATACCTTGAAAATTCAACTATTTCCAAGGGTAATATATTAAATGTAGCCTGTGTCTCATCCTCAGTCTTTTACTTTACGAGTGACTGAACTGTCACTAATTGTTTCTGTGACATTTGTACGTGTAGATTGTGATTGCATTCACATATCGTCGGAATGGAGCACTTGTTAGTTGCAAATATCGAGACATCAACAAGAAGTTTTGGCAGGTATAGCAATTACTGATGTTGCACCTATGTATATTGAGTGCTAAAATTGATATGCTTAGATTAGTATTGAAGAGAAAACATCAGTCATGAAACATCTGTACATATTTTGGTAAACATAATTAAATTAACAAATTATGGGCACCTGCAGCAAGCTCCTACTTTTATGCCCTTGTTACATCAATTTTTGTGTATAAATTCAGATACGGGAGAATCTAATAATTTTGATTAATGCCTCCAACATCTTTGTTTTCACGTTATCCCTTTCTTTTTTGTATTAAGAGCTTAACAATTAGTGGTAGTTGGTGAAGACATATAACTGATGCACAACACAATGTGAAAACAATTTATGGCCTGGTAATAATCAAATAGTTCAGTTTTCCCAATAGTTTCCTATATCTTTATGGATCATTATTAGTAAGGATGAATAATGGATGTGGACTATGATGGTATAACCATAGAAGCATGGTGTCTATAATAATAACGAATAATCTATATTCATTAAGTACACTCAACAAACGGCAGAGCAAACAGAAAAGTGAGAACCACTGAGCTGAGATCCGAGGGACAGGACAGAGATTTTGAGAGTATAAAGGAAATGAGGAATGTAGAAGGAAACATATTAAAGAATTAGAGTAAGAGAGGGAAAGAAAGAAACAGAGTCCAAGGAACAGAGAGGTTACTTGAGAAAACCAAGATATTTATTCTCCAAAGGTGGGTTGTTCAAGGGAGATTGTCTCCTTTGCCAGAGATGTTGGTGCTAAGTCAAATAGGTTTTGTTCCAGCTTTGGGCTTGAGTTTGTAGAAGACACGAGCAGAACATGTTTGGAGTTTTCATGATTAAACATGTTCAATGTTATATTTCTAACATTCTCCCTGGCACAAGATTCCTTTGAGTTTGATGTGCAGAATGCATAGGCCTACCTACCTTGTGCTGAAGTTCAATTTTATATTACAATTATGGGATTGGTGCCAGGAAGGATCAAACTCTAGACCATTTGGTCATATAGAGGCTTTGATACCAGCATGTCATGAACTAGCTATCCCAAAAGCTTGCATTGTGAGGGGAAGCCATATGTATGATTTTATAATTATATTATGTCTCTAACAGTATAATTAGACTATGCTGGGAGATATTTTTTCATATTATCTTAAATCTTAATATGTTTTCTGTCAGTTGTCAAAAATTGTTTTTATGTACATATCATATTTTTCTGATTTTATGACAGTTCATCTTTCCCATAATATCCTTTCATTTCAGGAAGAAAATACTGAAAAGATCTTTTATGGATTGGATGACATTGTGGGGCAGAGTGATATAATCATTGTATGTATTCTTCTCTCTGTAGAAATCGTGTAAAGGTTAATATTTTGCTTAATGCGTAGTATATTGATTTAATGCTCTAGGTTGAAGGTGAAATGGACAAGCTGGCAATGGAAGAGGCTGGTTTCTTCAATTGTGTCAGTGTTCCTGATGGTGCACCTCCATCAGTGTCCTCGAAGGAGTTGCCATCTCCTGACCAGGTCTTTTTTTATTCTTAACATACTGTATCTGTAATATTATGTGTTGTGTGTAGTTCTTAATTTTCTTATCTGTTGTCAGTTTTACTGTGGAGTGTGGTCACATATTAGAATCTAATGCTCTTATTATATTTCTAATTCTGTAAAGCTAGGACAAAAAGTATCAGTATCTGTGGAACTGTAAAGATGAACTAAAGCAGGTTTGTTAATTGTTATCAATTTTTTTAATATGATGAAAGAAACATCTTTATAAAATTTCCTCATTTGTTTTCTCAATGTTTATATTCGTAGGCAACCCGGGTTATACTTGCCACTGATGGGGATTCACCTGGTCAAGCGTTGGCTGAGGAGCTTGCACGCCGCATTGGGAAAGAAAAGTTAGAATGTTTTTAACTAGATTGATTTTACTACCTGTATAAATTCTCATAATCATTGATCTATTTGAGATAATCTCAGTTATGCTTCCAATTAGAAGATGCTGCCAATATTTCAGTAACAGTTTCATTTTTCAGTTTATATGTGCCGTATATTCATTGTATTATGGTGTGCAATTTTTAAATTGAGAAAGTGGCTAAAATATTGTTGAAATAAACTACTTTTGAGTTGCCTTTGCATGTTTTATTCAAAAGAATTGCTTGTTAAGATAAAGGGTGCCCCTGTACATCTTTGATGTGATGTGCTTGTTGATATTGTTTTGAAATCTTCATGGTTACAGAAGACAGAATGGCTGTTTTCACTGTTCTATGCATCAAGTTTATTCAGTTTTTTTATTTATTTTTTATTTTATTTGTTTATTTATTTATTTTTAAACAATGGGAGGATTGTCTTCTTTTCATGCTTGTTTCACATTTTCTTTAACCTTTCTCTCCTGGGTGGTTGCAGATGCTGGCGGGTCAGGTGGCCTAAAAAAGGGAGCTCTGACAATTGCAAAGATGCAAATGAGGTCTGATATTATTTTGCATACACAAGTTCTCCTTCACTTGCACCTTTCCTCTCACCCTTGTCTCCTAAAAAATAAAACCCAAAAATATTGAAAAGAAATGATGCTTTTTTGTAACTTTTTCTTTAGACAACTCTTATTTGGATTTTCTGAACAATGTCAAGTGACAGTGAACTGTGGATGAAGATGCATCTAACACAATTGTGCTGGTTACTCATAATCAGCTACATGTTTATATACATTGTCTGTGAATTTTTTATTCATCAATAAATGGCTTGTTATTGTTATTTTTTTATTAGTAGGCTAGATTGGAAAGTTGGAAACTTTAAACTGCCGTCTCAGTTATAATTATACATTTTACTGTCTGGTGTATGCTATTCATAGTGGTCTAGCATGCATGGCTTTATTGACATGCATACATGTTGGATTTCTGTAATGGAAGGGATTTTATCCTATTATGTGTTCACTACACAGTTCCCCCCTTGCCTGGTTTGTGTATGTCTCTTATGCTGAGTCATTTAAAGTTGTTCGTATGAAATTCTGCCCTGTGCTTTGATAACTGTAACAACCTTATAACATATTCACAGGTTCTTATGTATTTGGGCCCTGATGCACTCAAGGAAGCGATTGAGAATGCAGAATTATATCCAATAAGGGGATTGTTTAACTTCAGAGATTACTTCGATGAGATTGATGCATATTACTATCAAACCCTAGGATATGAAATTGGTATCCCAACTGGGTGGAATAATCTGAATGACTTATACAATGTAAGGGTGGTTTATTACATTCCTGTATTTTCTTAATGTGATAAACATTTTGTTTAGTTTATTTTACAGATAATATGTCAAACAACATAAGAAGCCACTGTGAATGCAGGTTGTCCTATTAATGTGACTAGATTGTTAACCCATGTAATAAAGAGAAGAAATTGAAATTTTAAAAATTCAAATTATGTAATAAGACACTAATGAATATCTCCATACAAGATATTGGGGTCTGTGTGGATGTTTGAATTAAAATTGAAACACTGGATTTTAATTTGAATTTCCAATTCTTTTAGAATTAGAATTGGTTTAGAATGTTATTGTGTGCTTGCCAAATGATTAGGATGTCATCATCATATAATTCTGTTGGATTTAAGTTTTATCTGTTGTTGTATCCTGACTGGTAAGTGGATTTCTTAAACTGTTCAATGTGTCACTAGGCATTAGAGGAAAGGTATAGTATGTTATGAATTGTGAGTTGGATAGAGTTTGTATTTAGTGGGATATTGGATCATGTATGTATCTTGCATTTAATTGTAAAATGCATATTCAGTTCCTTTCTCGTTTTTGGCTCAACTTTTTCAATTGTTATTGATGAAATTTTATATGAAAATAATTAATTGATTTGGAATTAATGTGTGTGATGTGATTTAATATCATACTTTTAAATGTATCTGATGGATACTATATCTTGGGCCTAAGCCTGATCATTGGGACGAACAGGACAAGGATCAATTGCTGGATCCAAGCCCCAAAAGAAATGGAGGGTCTGGAAGGTTTATACCAAAAGGCAGTATGATGGGTGAGAGAGAGGAAGTTTATTACAAAGCTGACGTGTCATGTTTGTTATTTAGGGGGCGGGGGAGAGTCTACAGGTATATAGGGAGGAAGGTATTAGTAATGGGAGAAGTTTTTGAGAAAGTTTGAGAGTTCTCTTAGAGGAGCCATAGTCTCTTGTTTTATCTCCTTGTTTTTATGAGCTTTCTGTCCATTTTACAATATCAATATGTAATTTCCTTTCAGTTCAGTGTTCTATCAGTATCCTTGACTGCTTCATATATGTGATTTAATCTGCTAACAAATATGACAGTATTTTTATCCCGTGGTGGTACGTCATGATTTGATCTATTCATTAAATGTTTTTTAACAAAATTGTTACTTGGTATATTGTAATTGTAATGATACAACCTTTTTTCTATGTATGGAATTGGAGATTCTGATATTTTTCTTTTAAAATACTTTTACCAGGTCGTTCCAGGAGAACTAACCATAGTAACTGGAGTTCCTAATTCCGGAAAGAGT